ATACTGAGACATCCTTTTAGAGTGTGGGTACCTTTGGTTTTGTTTTTAAATCTCCTTTAACCTTTTCTTCCACGGGACCTATATACCTACTAATGATGTAGACTTCACATTTCATGCTGAAAGACAAAGCATTTTCATTGCCTTTGCTGGTATAGTCAAACTTGTTTCAAAAAATACACAGGTAGAGTTTGCGCCACGGAAGAGAACTTGAACAGTGCCGTCCTTCAGAAACTATAGGAAGTGATAGCAAGGTTTAAATAACAAGTAAAGATAATGGCTCTACTGCAGCATGGAGACCAGTAATATTTTTTGAAAGAATGGTAGTATAAATTCCAAAAGTCCTCTCCTACCTTCATTCCTCATTTTCCATATTTTCACTTAGAGATATTTTGAAAAAGTTGTAGTGAGTTTGATTGAGGGCATAGCAATACGTCTTACCTTTAAATTAATTTAAATTCTACTTTTAAATTATTTTTAAAGACATCTTTGTGATGGCCTTTGTCTCTTAATTTTTTTTTTGGGTAGTTAACTGAAGCAGTAGGAGTAGAGAAAGAACAAAGCAATCTGTAAGTGGTTGTGATCATTAATTGTAAACACCGCTGCACTTAATATTCTTTAAACAAGGAAATTATTTGAAAGCACGGGCGCTCTTAGATCTTAGATAACATTTACTGATACGCTGCCTACTTACTGTGGAACCTTCTTCCACCAACATTAAAAAGAAAGAAAAACCATTTCTCTGCATTGTTTTTCACCCACAAGCATTTTCTCCTCTCACTTTAAAGAAGGAAACCTGGCTCCCAAAAGAAGATGCTTAAAGACCTTCATGAGTTCTGTGAGTGTCTGTCTGTGAAATAGACATTGTATCAAAAGGGGCAAACAATCAGATAAAAGATGTAGTCACTGAGGTGAAGGGAACACAGAGTGAGTTTAGAGCCACTCCTCTCCCGTCCCCGATGGACTCACTCCCATCCTTTCTTTCACCTGTTTGCAGGTAGATACTCAATGACTTATGTGATAATATGGACAAATGAAGGAACGAACAAACAAATGAAACAATGAAGGCAGGCCTGATTAAGAAATCCTCCTACGAGCAGGCTCAGTCCAAGGCCAGGGAATTTTTAAAGAGATTTCCAAGCACTCTGAACCCATGGCCTAGGGTAACCTGCCCTCATCTTCTAAGTCAAAATTTTCAATCTACATCTGAAAGAGGAAATTGTCAATGTGAAACCTCCTTCCCATATTCTGAAAATTAAGTCCACACCCAAATACAAGGTTTTATGCACAGATGGCTTCTTGTACTTCTTTACCTAGAAGTTTTACGCCCCCCCAAAAAAAATCCAGAACTAGATGGAGATAAGAAAAATATTAGTAAAATACAGATTCTTACTTATTTCGTTTTGCTGTGGATTAATTCTATACCAGCAAGAAAGAATTTCCAGAAAGCTCGATGTAAGTGCATCCCTAGGACCCAAATGCTAACATACTTCTTCCTCCCACACCCACTTTCAAGTGAAAACATTAGAGAAAAAAATAGGGGAAGTTACATGAGTAAACTTGTTAGTATATGAGATTAACTGAAAACAAGGAATTCCCCTCCTGGACTGCAGTGGCCTAATTAAAACTCATAAAACACAAATGACTAAGAGTGTTCCCGTTGATTTGTGAAATAAAAAGCAGAAAAAGTTAATTTTGTATTTCAATATTGAGAGAGGTAGGCCTAGAAGACGTGACACTTTGCAGAATAGAAATGAGAAGACCATTTCTGAGACTTTCAGGATCAGTCAACTTCTATTCTGCGCTCCTAGCAGAAGAACATGTACTTACCATCTGTACTGGCAACAGCCTATTTCGATTTAGATTCTGGTTCCATGACAGATAAGTGGCCCTAAGTAAGCTTCTTTACCTCTCTGTGCCTCTGTGTGTTCATCTATGAAATGGGCATGATAACTGGCAGGTTGGTCTCGAACTCCTGACCTTGTGATCCCCCCTCCTCAGCCTCCCAAAGTGCTGGAATTACAGGCATGAGCCACCATGCCCGGCCTGATCTACAGGCTTTAGGACTAAACTGAAAAAGTCTCTTCCTAAAAGTGTGTTAAGCACCATTACTCCAGGTTCCACAGCATGTGCTTTACATGTGTTATCTGGGGCTTAGGGAAATAGATGGAGTAGCTTACTCAGGTAGCAAGGGGCAAAGGGAGCTTAAGGCACAAATCTACTTATTTCCAAAGCCTGGGCCTCTTAGGGAGTAAACTACTTCAACGGATGCTGACAATGTACACCCTCTTGGGGTCATGGGTACCACTTTCATGGACTAACACTCTCTGGAAAATGTCTGAAGGTTTGAAAATTTTTTTCAGGTCATTGGAACTCTGAAAGTTCCCTTAAAAGCTTTGCTACATGTGTGCAGACTTACTGTTTCTGTCAACTTTAAGTACTCTAGTCTCACTTCAGATACAAATCAATGGATTTTCACTTTTAAAAATCTTTCTTCTCTCTCCTTCTAGGAGATGCAGAAAAACTAAGCTTTCTTCCAATACCAACACCAACAACGGACTTTCAGTACAGTAAGCACATTAGGGGAATTAAATTCTTCCATGGCAGAAAGGGGAGATAATTTCAAATAAAACCTTAGCCTACTCTTCACAGTCAATAACTCCATCCTCTACCTTAAAGAAAATAGTTATACACCATGTTTTTAAAAACCGAGTTGTTACTTTATTAGATTAACCATTTAAAAGAAAGTAACTAGAACTATTTTGTGATAAAAATAGCTAAGAAAACAAAATGTCTCCATCATTACACTGACTTATAAAAGCATACTCAATTCAGCTTCTATATGTATCTAATTCGTTCCTTTAAGAATTAGTCTAGGTCGGGCACAGTGGCTCACACCTGTAATCCTAGCACTTTGGAAGGCTGAGGTGGGTGGATCACCAGCCTGGCCAACATAGTGAAACCCCATCTCTACTTTAAACAAACAAACAAAAATTAGCCAGACGTGGCAGTGTGCGCCTGTAATCCCAGCTACTAGGGAGGCTGAGGCAGGAGAATCGTGTGAACCCGAGAGGTGGAGGTTTCAGTGGGCCAAGATAGCACCATTGCTCTCCAGCCCTGGCGACCGTGCAAGTCTCCGTCTCAAAAAAAGAAAAGAAAAGAAATCAGTCCAAAGGAAAAAAGTCAACTAAAATGATGCATTTACATAATCACATTGTTTATAGTTAATAATATATGTGGGTTTTTTTACTTTAAGTTTTAGATTATCCTAAATATGTTGGAAAGAATAAACCAGAATAAATATGGGGTTGAAAAACAATAGGTTAGAGCTGAGGATTTTAAAAACTTGATTCAGGAAATATCCAAGGTTAAATCACTTACAGTCTTTAATGGGTAGAATAATTGTTTAAAATTGATTTTTTTTTTTTCAAATGAAAACAGTATTAAGTAGGTCAGTTTAAGAGGTCTTACCCAAAAAACATGTCATATACAGTTGTTACCCAGTTGTCTGTCTAAATTCAAGGTAGTTCATAAAATGCAAGTGTTTACTTTCCATGTTCTCCTTAGTAATTTAATCTTCTGGATTTGTTACCCAATGATTATATTCAAATTTGGTTCAATTCACCCTCCTGAATGAAGACACATCTATTCTCCAAATTCAGACTGTATAATCAGTACAGCTTAAGAAAAACAAATACGATAATTAATAGTTAAAAAAAAAAAAAAAGCTGGGCAAAAAAGTCATTTACTTACGGCAGTCTGAGATTGATAGGAGGGAATGAGTTGGAAGATGAACATCAAAGAGAAATTAAATCTAGGACCTTTAAATTTATTCAAAGAAAACAATACTGCTAGTGTCTAACTAAAATGCCAAATGACTAAATAAGTAAAACATACAATGTATGTCAGACGAGAGAAGTGCTAAGAAGAAAAATTAAGCAGGAATAAGGATAGGAAGCTGGGGGATAGAATGCGGAAGCTGCCATCAGTTTCAAAAGATTTTTTTTTAATCCCTAGGAATATATAGGGATTTGAGGCACACCTTGTATACATTTGTTGGGAAGTACTGTTAAAGGCATCCTTTTGTGAATTCAGAGTCATGCAGCCAAAATTCCATGGGCTGCCTGATTTCTCCCGAGGGGCTTTTGCTGCGTCCCAATGTAGTTCCCAAGCCAGAGACCTCACACCCTCAGGTGACCCATGCCCTCTTTATTGATTCCACACCTCCTGCTGGGTAAGGGGTTTAAGGAACGTCTACAAAAAGGTTTTTCCCACTGTTCAAGAAAACTTCCTTAGGGTTAAGGAAAGGGTTATTTCCTATGTCTCAATTTCAAGATGAAAAGTCAGGCTGATTTACTGATGGACATCACCTTGGGAAGCCTGTGAAGAGCGTTCAGACCCCTGGAATTCCTACACTGCCACCCAGGAGAACCTGTTATATAAGCATTCCACCACAGCTCTGGTTTATGACCATAGTGGTGATATCATCAGCTTTTGATCCTAAGAGGCATGGGGTGACTAGGAATAAAGTAAATCACCCAAATACTGCCTCTGACTCAGTTAAGAAGTCCAGTGCCACGTCTCCAGTCCTCTCTCGTACCTGAATCAGTATCATTAAGAGCAGACTACAGCTAGACTGCCTGCTTTCAAATCTTGTCTCCACTACTTCCTGCCTGTGTTACTTTGGGCAGATTGCTTCACCTCTCTGAGCATCAGTTTCCCCATGTAAAAATGAGGATAACAAGCACATTGGCCATATACTGTTTCTGTGAGTTAAAGAAGTTAGTAAGTGTAAAGCATTTCCTACCAAAACGTGTCTACTAAGTACCTACTATGTGCCAGACACTGTTCTTAGATGCCAGTGATTCATTTAGAATGGTACCTGGCATATAATATGAGCTCAATGTACGTCAGTAATTATGGGTCCACAAACACTTGCCTGACACTCAGATTGATTATTATTATTATTATTTCATAAAGGTAATAGGTTGATTATTCAACACAGTGTATAAACCTCTAGGGGAGTCTGGAACTATACTCCATGATCGAACACATTAATAATTCTACAGTAAAACATACAAAGATTCATTCTGAGTGAGCTAAACAATGAATATCATTAGCTTCACATCGGTTCAGGATTTGCTGCCAAATTTGTTACCTGAAAATCTTTTGATTTTCAGAGTTTTTTGGATTACGGAAGAGATGGGGGACATCTATTTATTAAGTAAGGGACTAACCCCACTGAAATCTTTTCCTTTCTAACTTCAAGAGGTTCTAGTGACCAAATAAATAGTTAAAACCATTTAGGAGTAGGAAATCGGAAGAGCTTCAGACATGGAAAATCAACAACTACATAATTAAGCTATGTCAAATATTAAACAATCCCTCTCCTCAAATACAGTGCTCCATAAATTCTCCATCCACAAACAGTTTCCACAAACAAGTCTCAATCTTTTTTTAAGTACTTTACAAAAGCACTTTTTGAATATACTATAAAATGCTTAAATTTTATCACTATTTTAATAGTACGACCTTGCTGTTCCCATAGAAAAAAGACAAAAGCTATTAAACGACAAATGAACAACTGCTTTAAAAACTTGTGCCTTAAAGAACACAGTATCCTCTGTAGTCTGCCCGGGGGAGATGAATAAATGTTATGCCAAAGTGGTAAACCATCCTGCTACCAAAGGAATTTTCTCCACATTGCATTTTAAGGAAATTCACAGCTCTTGAAGAGCTATACAATAACTGGTTCAAGATGTTCTCACTGCTGGTCAGTACTGGGTAAAGGATTTGCACAAACCCATAGAAGCCAATGTCTCCTGCCTCTTTATTGGGCCCATGTGTTGTTATTTATCTTCCCCAACTTTTCTGACCCCTTTCCATGTATTTTTTATTGAAGTATTGCTTTGTTCAAGACCTGTGTTTACCACTCCCATGGCGATCCTGTACACAAAGACAAGTTAGGAAGACATGAAATGAACGAAGATACTTATGTTGCTTCATGGTTTTCTCCCTTCTCATTATCCTCCTACTCACTGAGACTATAGTGGGAGGTCTGAATGACATTTCCAAACCAAGAACTTAAAGCTACATTTCAACACCCAACTACTCAGTTGTCATAGGAACAACACTATGAGGCTTATCTGGGTTCTAACAAACAGCCACTTGTTTCGCTAGTGATTAAAACTTCCCCTTCAAATCAAATACATACACCCATACATACACAGACCTCAAAAGAAAAATTTAATTGGGTAAAACCGTGTACTACACCAAAAACTTAAGAAACAAGCCCAAAGGGAAAGCACTTACGTTCCCAAATATGCACATTCAAATACTATTTCAGAGAAATTGTTTTGAAGTCTGTCACTTAACTAGATCCCTTCGTTTGTTGCTTTACATACCCACAAACACAAAGGCATATGCATGTCATTATTATCTTTTAACAGGGTATACAAAAATGTGAAGACTCTCAACGACCCCAGAGGAGAAATCAGAGCAAGCAACGTTATTCATTTTCGATGTACTTTTACAGGTTAATAAATTGAGAACAGAGAACAGCAAAGAGAATTGAAAACATGAAGTTCTCAGATAATCTTTATGGGATATACTTTCTAGCATTTACTATTCCAACCTGCTTCTAACACATTTTGTCATTCAAAATTGGATGAGGAAAACCTAAAAACGAGAGGCTTTTTTCCAACAGGCACAGCAGTATTTACCCAGATTATTAAATCACCATGTTCTCCCCAAGTATTTACTTACATGAAATACAGAGTTGAAAACAGAAGCTAGCAGTTGAATATACATTACCTGTAAATACCTAAATGCTTTGTTGCCATTTTTCTGTCTTCAAGACTCTAAAAACCTATAAATTTGTGTGCTTCAAGAAAACTAATGCCACATCTTAATTAAATCAAACTGACTTGTTATATTCACGAGTTTGGATCACCAATTTCCTGACTTGTTGGAGGACCTGCCCTTAAGAGCCGTGCTTATCTTGTCTTTCTATTTCTTTAAGAATACTTATGCAAAAGTCTTGAGAGCTGCTAGTCTGAGAAAAATGATCTTAAAATTCATCCAAGTATACAAGAGGGGGAGAAAAACAATTAATATATCTCACTAGATTCATCTCCTTCTCCCACCTTCATAGCCCTCCACTGCTAAGAGAGAGAAATTTCAGCACTGCTATCCTGTTTTATTATATATTTTCCCTTTTGAGTTAAGGATTTTAAGATTTTGAAAGTAACAGAACAGGAACCAAAAGTCACAGAAGTAGATTCAATTTCCAATTTAGCTTAAAAAGAAAGAATTATTATTTTCTAAATTACCCCATTCTGTTAATAACAGTTACAATTATATATTCAAATTAATAAATGAAGATCACTAAAATTGCCTATATAATTGTTAGCATTTAAAGAACAAAAATTTTTTCCATCTGGTTCTGTAAGTAGACATCACATGATTACTTCTGTTGACCAATAAGAAACTGGTAAAATCAGGCAGTCACCCACCATTCTATTCTAATGTTCTTTTTCTTACTCGGTTCAACCTTTTCGGTACATTCTTAAGAAACCAAATCAAGAAACTAGACATTCATGCCTAATATAAAATTGTTTTACCTTATACATCATGAACAAGAACCTGTTGTATATAACGCAGATATTCAAAGCTTTATTGTCTTTTTCTAGAACCCTTAAACATAGAGGCAGCTCAGATTCAAGATTAGAAAACGGAATTTAAGATTTCAGGGAAACAGAGACAGGCAGGCACATGCATACCAAACCAGTAAGAACTACTAATCACGATCTCTCAAAAAGTTATGAACTATACAGATAGAAATAATCACCCTTTGCTGTACTAATGTAATCAGGTAGAACAAACTTAAAATTCATGACACAAATGTTTAAAAAAAAAAAATCTACTGCCATTGTAATCTATCCTTCCCAATCAGGAGGAAGTGTTTCCGATGCATTACTTGAACTTTCATTTTGTATAACTTTTATCTTGTAAAGTTCTAACTGAATACTTGACATCCTAATGTAGAGGAAAGGAAAGGAGGGCAAGTAGACTAATTCTGAAATCATCTCTTCAAATTTCACACATGCTACATCAGACTAAATGGAAATCTACATCCATGGAAAGTTAATGTCGCAACTCTACTAAACAGCCCATTCTGATTTTGTTTCTCCTCCACTAAACAAGAAAAAATAAAACAACCAAATCTAGCTGTATTACCTATGTTGAGCTAAACTGATAGCACTCAGCTCATTTTTGTTAATTACCTGGCTGTTTCTCAGTCTTTATGCGGTATTCTCTGCTGCTCTTTAGACCTTCTCACTGTTTATGTGTTCTCTGTTCAACACCGTTGTTAGGGGTCTGTGAACAACTTTTCAATTCCCACATGCACATATGATATCTATTAGGGAGCAATGCCACTTTTCACTTACCAATACTGGATAAAGCAGTATTTCCTGGTGACAGAATGCTGCTGCTTCCGTTCATTAAAACTCCCTCTTCGGAGCTTGATAAATCTGATTATAAAACGTCTTTGTTCCAGATCACACGAGGCACTTTTCCTACAAAAGTTTTCTAAGAGTTATCTGCATTTCATTCCTGTGACAAAACAAATCAGAACAAGGGTGTTGGGGGGTAACAGAGAATAAGTCCACACAAGTTCCTGGCAAAGATTTTAAGCTGCATTTTTCTGAGTTTAATCAGTAACCTATATTAAAGTGACAGTTACCAGTTCAGGAAGCCCAGAGTTGGATCAAGTCGGTCACAACCACTTTGAGTGTCTTCCACGGGTCTGCAGACCCCAAGAAAGCAGTCACTTAGTCAATCTATCCCAAGTGGCTGAATCACTGGTCAGAACCCCCCCCCATCCAGCCTCCGTTGAGCAGCAGCCCAGGCAGGAGAGTGGCCAGACGCTGGACCCAACAAGACCTCTTATAGGGACCCGCCAATTAGCTGCTGACCAATCGCAGCCAGCACCTAGTACCTAAGTCACATGACAGGGCAGTCCCTATGACTGCAGGATTTCTGAATTACTGGGGTTACACAAAGGACACTCATTCAGGAAAAGAGAAAAAAAAAAGCCATAAGCAGAAACAGAAAACGCCCAGGCTGCGACAGCTACGGCTTTAAAACAGGGAACACCCCAGCCTCACACAGACAGAGAAAGAGCCACAATGAAGCCAGGATGAAAATCAGAAGAATGTGTGGCACTTATTAAAGAATAATCCCAAAGCAGAGGCTGAGTTTACAAACCCACTTCAGCTATAAATCTACTCCTCCTTTCCCCTTCCTCTGTAGTCTCCAACAATTTCACATTCTAAACTTTTTTATTTTCAAAAGCTCCAGTAAGCCTCTGCAAAACCGCTGTAAGAAAATGCGTGAGACACATGCGCCTCTCTTCCCATCCCCTCAAAATACCCCTATAGGAGATGCAAATTTGACATGAACAGATTCCTAAGTGAAATACATTTCTTTTCAAATAGTTAAATAAATGAAGTGAAATTCAACGTTGTCAGAGCGGATTGGTATGGTAACTACCAAATCTTCTCTCTCTCAATCATTTTAAACTGTCCACATCAAGAATACTCTTGTTAAGTAAACAAGCCCACTTAGTGAACTAGATACCATTTTATTTTTATTTGAATGCCCCCAATTTGTCTCTTAAACATCTTTTATGTCCTAGGGAGAAATTCAACTGTCAACACCCCTGCCATTTCTCTGACCTCCAAAAATGGTACTTACAAATATTCCTTGTTTGGATCTGTCGAATTCTTCTCCCCCTCCCCCGACATTTGGAGTCAAAATAGGGGCTCAGCCTCATCCTTAAGGCCCTCTTTTGATCAGGCTGCAACAGCTCCTTCTCCGAGGCAAGCCCAGAACACTGTGCCGCTTGCCATTCCCAATTTATGGAAGGAAGCGTATGTCAAACAAACCAGGTGATGACTCAGACCGCCTCCCCCAGCCACGTTCTCCCCAGAATGGGAGGGTAGTGTAAGTGGAGCCCATTTGGATGTGACTCAGTTTTATTAAGACTGGTGGCTGTAGCTGAGCTGACAAGCTCACATTTTTTAAAAATAACTTGTACATTTAGAGATTAGAATGCACATTCTAACTGGTTTCAAGAATTGAATCATGTAAACAGGAGAGTTGCAAGATTATTTTTAAGGTATGGCAACGCTCTGGCTCTATTCCCTAATAAATTTCAGAATTGGGCACCGAAATTTTTACAATGGAGGCAACGAAACGTTTGAATTCACATAAGGGTAGCAAACAGGGTTTCTAGATTTAGGTTTACTTGAGGTCTTTACCATGAGGAACTTGGACTCTTTCCATCTTGAGGATTCCAGTTTAAGTCTCTGAGTCTGGGGCCCGCATGGCGGGTTCTTCAGGAAGTGGTTGGGAGCAAGACAGCCATGTTGCAGCTTTCACTTTTGCATTTACTGCAATTCACACTCCAAGCTGAGCTACTCACACAGCACACACGTAATACAATCACATCACCAAAAAACCTGGACAGTCCTTTAGTCTCGAACTGTCTAAAAGCTACGAAATAGAAGCCTGAAAATAACCAGTGAAAACTCTGACATGCCCTAAAAGTCTTCCTCTTCAGTAAAAACCTTACTACCACGATGGGAGTGGCATTACATGGAGTAAATTGTTCCCAGGTATTACGTAGACAGGAAGAAAACTGTAATAAGAAGCGCAATTCCCCACATGAAAAATGAAGGCTTGGGCTAAGCAATTTAACTACAGTTATCTCTTTTCGGCATACTTCCTCTAACCTCGAGCAAATGGAGCAAAGTCAGCAACTGCTCTGACTAAAGCTTGGCATTTACTGTTGATTAAGCCTTGATGGATAACTAGTTTTATTGTAACATAGGAAATACATCCAACATTTGAAACATAGAAAAATGTTCAAATATCAAATTCTCAGATTGGTAGGTAGCTGAGAACATAGAAAAGGTGTACACACTGAAATCATGTATAACAGTTAATTCAGGAGGTGATTATTCGCTTTATAAAAAGACTTCCTGCAGGGTTTCACTGGAATAAACACTACATTCAATTTACATACAGAATTGATTTTCAGAAATTAAAATCAAACAAAACTATTCAGAGCGCATTTCCAAATTACACTTTTGAATTCTATTTTAACTATGTGTATGTATTTCTCACTTGGTCATTAAAACGTATTCATACTTCAACAGCAATGCGTTAAGTTGTATTGGCTTAGTTACCTTGCTAAGATACAGAACATAGAGTCTATTAATTATATGGCTTTCAATGAAATAAACACAGGCTATGAAAATAGAATGTCAATAAAACTGAACACATAAAACTCTGGCATCCAGAAGGACCTGTAACATCCTTTACGAGTCTAGCTTCTGGAGTCAGACTTACTGGGGTCTGACCTCTGCTTCTGCTGTTCCTAGCTGTGGCACCTGGATTAAAAAATTACTCAATCGTAAGTGCTGAGAACAGTGCCTGACAGAGAAATCTGGAGTCATATGCATCTCAGCCATTCCCTAAGTAACACTTCTGAATGAAAAAAATAGGATTCCATGCCGGGCGCGGTGGCTCAAGCCTGTAATCCCAGCACTTTGGGAGGCCGAGGCGGGTGGATCATGAGGTCAAGAGATCGAGACCATCCTGGTCAACATGGTGAAACCCCGTCTCTACTAAAAATACAAAAATTAGCTGG